TGTCGATGAGATTGGAATGTACATGCAAGAACTGGAATCAGAATTTTCTGACAGATTTCAAGATTTCCAGCGATTTGGCCCAATGCTTTCTTTTCTAATTAAACCTGAAAAGTTCAACAAAAGCGACTTGGATTTCTCTGTATTTCAGTGGATGGGTGTTGAAGATTTCGAAATGTAGCTAATTCAGTTAAAAAGCTGAGAATTGTGGACATCAAAGTTTGGAGATCTGAGGAGTGCACTTGAAGCTACTGAGAGAGATCATGGGGTCTCTATTCTGACCTGCTGGACATCCCTGCCAGTGAAATTTAACTTTGAAGAAAATGGCGTTTCCAATGCTTTCAGCATTTGGATCCACATACCTGTATGCACAGGTATTTTCACATATGAAGTCTGTCCTCTGTCCCTCTCAGAGCCGGTTAACAACTGATCACTCAGAAGCCTATGTACAGCTTAAAGTATCCAAATATGTGCCAGACATTGGAAAACTCATCAAGGAAAAGCAAGGGCAAGGATCACACTAAACTGATAAGATCTGCATTTTAATTTAATTTTAAATGAAGCTTCTTAAACATTTTACAAACCTTATTTGCTTTACATACAACAATAGTTTAGTTATATAACATAGACTTATAGAGAGAGACCTTCTAAAAACATTAACATGTATTACTGGTACGCGAAACCTTAAATTACAGTGAATAAATGAAGACTTGGCACACCACTTCTGAAAGGTTGCCAACTCCTGATCTAGATCCAACTACAAGTGATGTCTTATGACTCAGGCAGGCAGACCCACAGAGAAACCAGCATGCATGAAATACTACCTGGATCCCTAGTTATTGTTATAAGTTCTTATTTAACCAGAGGGGGAAGTTGTAATGATCAGTGCAGACAGCACCACCACCAATAGATGGTGCCGTATCTTTATCTTAATGTTTAGTTGGGTCTTGCATGTTATTATGTTGTTGTGTCTGATCTGGAGGGTTTAGCAGGAAGTTAAGTCTTCCCTGTGTGTGCTGAAGTTACTACTTGTGGTTTTACAATAAAATTCTATAATTTTAAAAGTGACCATTACACTCTCCATAGCTGAATCACTTCACTGGGCAAATCCTATTCCAGAAAAAAACATGACTTATGACCATACGGGGTAAAGGAATTTTAAAGCAAGGTGGGATTCTTTGTGTGGTCAATTGCATATTAAATACCCAGCGTACTCTGTGGTGTCCAAGGTAATTGTGTAGCAATTTAAATCAAACTGTTAAGACTTAATAGTGAGGTACATAAACTATGGGTTTTTTATTGATCATGTCTGCAATGTATGAGTATTCACACAAAATAACAAAATAATGTTATATTCAGCAATATCCTCGGGGAACAGCATCACAACATTAGGTTAAAAAAATAAACTCTAATTAGATGTTGAGAGCTTCTTGCAGCGAAACAACATGTAAACAAACATACAAATGCTTTATACATACATATGTGAACACTATATTATTTTGTCTTTTGTGGTTTGTCTTGTTTGCACACCTAATTATGGTATTAGTCATCTTAATATTTTCCTTACTCTTCCTAATGGACATTGGATTGCAATTATGTAACCCGCATAGCTCCTGCAGGAGAAGTATGGTTTATGTTTACTCAGTGTACTGTTTAATAAAGTTAAAAAGATACCAATATAAAATTAATGAAAGTATTTTTTTGTGGAAGGAACATTACATTTTCACTTGTAATGGGGATTTAGCACTTATTTCACCATTATTACAATATTGTAAATACTAATGTGCAGCAGCTCTTTCTCAGATTTGCAGGAGACTCCAGATTACTACCATTACTAAAGATAGTTATACGTAGAAAGTAAATATCTATTTGATAATGTACCCATTCTATCTCCTTACAGTTTGTGTTTCAATCAGTGCAATGAAACCTCTCCTAGCATTCTGAAGGGAAAGGATTCAATAAGACTTTAGATCTTTTCTGTTCAAAGAGAATCTTTCTGAATTCTATGATTCCAACTAACTGCAAACCATCAACTTTCTAAACAGAGCCAGGCTGCATTGTCTACATACCTGGCATCCAGTGGCAGATTAGCCACTGGGCTGACAGGGCCTGTGCCCAGAGGCCCTGGCCAACTGGGTGGGTCCTGTAAAAAATCTGCTGCTGGGTGGTGGAAGCCAGGAGCCCCAGCGCCCTGACCCCAGTAGCAGCACTGGGTCGGGGAAGCCCACACACCCTGACCCATCCCTGGAAGAAGCGCTGGGCAGGTGGAGCGGGAGAAGCCCCCGACCGTGTCCCTGGCAAAAGTCGTGGGGCAGCATGGGAAGCCCCCAAACCCGACCCTGCACTCGAGCAGAAGTGCCGGGTGGGTGGGGTGGGAGACGACCCCAGCACCCCGACCCTGGTCCCCCGCAGAAGCGCAGGGGTGGTGGGGAAAGCCTGCTGTGGCCCCAAGACTGGAGGAGCCCTCACTACCTGCCACGCCTCAGTGCTGAGGGGGCTCTCACTCCCCACTGTGGCCTGGGGCCATGGCAGGGGGACAGAGCTTCTTTGGTCTTGGGGCTGCAGTGTGGGGATGGACAGAAAGGAGCAAACGGGTTGCAGGGCTGCGCGGGGGAGGGGTGGTAAAATGGGGGGAGGACCCCAGGTGGAACAGGGGCAAGCACCGGGGAAGGGGAAGAAAGGGGTAGGGCCATGGGGCCACAGGCAGAAGGGGTGGAACGGGGAGGGACCTCAGGTGGAAGGGGTGGGGAGGGCCCCCCCACTTACTCTGGTCCAGGGCCCCAGAAAACCTTAATTTACCTCTGCCAGCGTCATAAGAGTAATACATATCTACCCCAGTGCTTCCAATCACACAAAAAGTCAAAACTACAGAGTGCTGCAGTGAATTCCAAGGCTGGCTTTGCTATGGTGATGGCTCCTTCTAAAGGAGCAATCTATTCTCACAGCAATAACAAAAAAGCCAGAAGAATCGTAGTAGGGAAATAATACTTTCAATTCTTCAGAAATACATCAGGCAAACACGTTTTGCATTTCTTCCATAGTTCCTATTATCATCTGGTGGATCTAAGAAATGTTTTATGACAGTGCAACATTGTCTGCACTATCCAAAGTTTAGTTTCTTGCACAATTCAGGAAAGGCCATGACTGTTTCGTTAACTGAGGATCCTTTTTATTGTTTTTTCCCTTAGGGATGTCTACAGAGTGCAGCTGGGAGCATGTTTCTCAGTGTGAGTAGACGGACATGTGCTAGCTCTGTTCAACCTAGCATGCTAAACATAGCAGTGCAGTTAGGTGCAGCATGGTCTGCAGTCCAGGCTAGCCACCTGAGTACAATCCCACCCAAAGTCCCTGGGTACATTCTGGCTGGCCAGCCTGAGATACTGCCCATGCTACCCCCAACCACACTGCTATTTTTGCTCTAGCAGAGGTAATGCACGTCTGTCTACCCATGCTGGGAAGCAGCCCTGAGTTGGAGGGATTCCTCTCCTCCCGCTTGGCATGAAAATGTAATTCAGTCTCCATTCTGCTTGGCCTCTGCACCCCCTGACTCTTCCATCTCAATCAGTCTATACATCCCAGCCTGTGTCCAATTTTTGCCACTTCTTTCTACATAACATCCTTTTCTCTCTGTCCATATATCTACTGCTCCCATCCAGGCAGCCTTCTTCTCCCACCTTGATTACTATAACCGCCACCTCCCTGGCCACCTCAATTTATTCAAAAATTGTATATATATAAAAATGTATTCACTCAGATCATCTTCCTTGTCCATTGCTCTGATCACACTTTGAATCCTTCCACTAACTCCCTTCTCCACCACATCAAGTTCAAACCTTTTGTCCTTGTATTAAAAGTAGGCTTGGCAGAATTCAATTTTTTAAAATCATTTCAACATATGATATTCATGTTTATTTTTAAGCATTTTTTCAATATTTTAGATTTAAAATGTTCACAACTGAGGGAAATTATGGGGCGAGGTCAGTCAATTATTTAATGACAGGTTTCAGAGTAGCAGCCGTGTTAGTCTGTATCCGCAAAAAGAACAGGAGTACTTGTGGCACCTTAGAGACTAACAAATTTATTAGAGCATAAGCTTTCGTGGACTACAGCCCACTTCTTCGGATGCATATTATTTAATGGCAGTAGATGTTGAGATTCAAAAAGTTAAAAGCTTTATAACCATTAACACACAATTTGTCAACTTTACATGTCAATATATACAAAGTAAAGAGCCTTAACACAAACTCTAATAAGTTCTCAAGCAGCACTTTTCTTACTTTGCCTATCTGTGAACTTCAATTATTATTGATGGAAATATTTTTAGTCGTTGTGTATGTGTATGGTGAAATTGATGTTTACCGACATTTACTGATAAAAATCTAATCCTTCCAAGCATACTTAAAAGGCCTTGCATAACATAAATAGAATATACCCCTTTAAATGTCCTTTTTTGCTAGATCCTTTAGCTTCCTGTCAGAGAGCAATGACTGCTTTAGCAGTCTTTGTTCTCCCCTCATCCTGCACTTCAGCCAATTTTTGTGTTCTGCACAAGTTGCTTTAAGACAATATCTGTTTTCTCTTAGGAATGCACAACCTCCATCTCTTCCAATGACGGCAAAATCTACAAGACAGGCAAATCAATCATACTGCTCTAGCTTCTCCCACACATACCCTCCAAAAATAAAAAGTTTTCTTTCATTAAGTACAATAATTGGTTTTGTCACAGACACCGCTATCTGTGCTTCTGTCTTCATTCCCTCACCCCCCATTCCAGGGCTTAGCTCATTAAGATATCCTCAGACACTAAGATATTGTACCTAAAAGCCCCATTTCATGGCCAGGTAATATTGCTTTGTAACTACAACTGCTGTTGGGCAGTATTTGATTAAAATACTTGTAGACACAAGCCTTCACCACAAATTCAAATTGAACCAGTTTTGGGGATTAAAAAAGTTTATTTAACCTCTCCCTCCACACTAAGCACAATTTTTTTTCATTTTTAGACTCTTCTGCCATTACTGGAAGCAGGAAGTACAAGAAACCTCACAGGGAAGTCTATTCTCAAGTTGTTTCCAGCTCTGTTCTCTACTTCCACCACAAACTGCAGAAACTAGAATAATTCCTCTAAACACCTGAATTTTGATTGCAACTGAACCAAAACTATGTACCTTTGAAGTTCACCCATCACTAAATTCAGTTCATTCTCTCGTTCCAGCTATTAGGATGGATAACATTTATTTTGGTATCACCCTCTTTCAGGTGTATATCTGACTTCCTTATTTTATTTACTGTGTTAAGGTCAGTTGATGCAGCTGGAGAAGAATTCTAAAGAGGTGTTAGAAGATTTAAATGAATATAGAAAAAAATATTCCTACAAGCAACTTTGCAGAGGTTTTACTTATTTCAGCACCATTTCGAAGTATCCATCCAAGCAATAGCACACGATTTCTCACCCATTCCATACTTACATTGTCCTAATAGCTTTTCATACAGTTATTATGTGACTTCTTCCAACCTTGCACACTGTATGTGATGACTTGCAGGTGTATTTGATGGATTAGAGTGATTTTTTTAACTTTTGCTTTTATACATATAATTCACGTTGGTACTGTATTTACACCCTGGTCACCTTAGAGTTACTAATCACATCAATTTATTACAATTTTATGGCCCAGTCCAACACCTATTGGGACCCAATCGTGTAAAAATATAAACATTATTTTACCGAAATGACTAATTCAATTAAATTATAAATAAAATAAAATAAATAAAATTACCCACTCATGTAAGTGTTTACATGATAGGGCCCTTAGGAGATGTCACAATACAGCAACAGTAATACTCTGTAATTTATGATAAAATATAAAGGTTTCTCCAAACAAAAGAAGGATCTGAAATTTACAGAAAAAAAACAAAAATACAATATCCTGAAAATAAAGATTGATAAGAATAATTTCTACACCTCTCCTCCCCTGCCTTGAGATTGTGGGTATTTTTCTTGATTTAACCTAGGGGGTTGGTTAGTTTGTTTTTCGTCCCCTAAAATTCTTCCTCATTAAAGGGTCCTCAGTGCATTTCAGTAGGTTGCGACTCTTATCCCTGTCATAGCAGAGAAGGCCTTACTTGGGACACATACTCCAGATGATCTGATAATATTCTGAAGGTCTCAACTTTGTTTTAAATCCTTCAAACCTCTGTCCTTCTTCAGTGTGCTACAATTCTTCCTTGTTGTACAAGACCAATGTCAATGTCATTCTGAAACGGGCATGAAAGAGGTGCTTGAGTATCTACCAAACCTATTTCCTTAAAGCTAGCCTAAGAAACAAGAGTTACCGTCCGATTCTAATTGGAATTTTTCCTCTGATTTTAATCCAGTGGGTTTTGGATTACTCCCTTAATTCATCAATGGGTAAGAGCGGGGGAGGAAGGGAGAAGGCCTTTGTCATGCCTGACAGGTACAATCAAATATCTGCTCAAGAAAAGAGACAGTGAAGTTAAACTAAATGTGTAGCCAACCCGATTCAACAGATATATTGTCTTGCTTCAGATTTTCTTCGTTGAGAAATTAACATTTTTATATCTGAATGGAAGAGAATGCCTCAGGCACTAGAGAAATTAACTATTGTTCATTTTTATTAAGTTATAAAAAGAAAATTAAAGGTTCTTTGCAGCTAATTCAAGATACTACAGACATGCTGTAAAGCAAAAGGTCCCTTGAGCTATTCCTTTGTCGAAGAGCTCATTGGCTCGATGTACTACTTTTCTTCACAGTGTGGCACATGTGTGACAAATGTGGAAATGTTGGTAATATTTTTATGATTCCTGTGCTCACGTTAGTTTCCCTCTGTGCTTTGTGTTGCTATACACTGAGCATGAAGGGAAGGGACGAGATGTTTGATTCACAAAGCAGCTCAATTGGAAACCAAAGTCATTAACAAACTGAATAGAGCATATACATGTGACCAGAGGGTTTGGAAGAGAAAATGGAATTCCCAATGGCCAGCACGTTCACACCTACTGACCAACAGCCAAGTGGAGATTTCCCTCCACCTGTCTGCAGGGAAGCAGAGTATAGGCCCCGAGCCAGGGAAATAAAGAGAAAGATGTCAGGTGGCTCTGGTAAGAGCCAAGCTCACAGAGACACAGGGCTCTCAACTAGGTGTTAAGGGTTTATCTACACTTACAGCGCTGCAGTGGAGCAGCTGCACCATAGCACTTAGTGAAGACACTACCTAGGCCGACAGGAGATTTTCTCCCATCAGCATAGGTACTCCACCTCCCCAAGAGGCGGTAGCTATGTCGGCGGGAGAAGCCCTCCTATCGACATAACGCTGTCTACACTGGGGGTTAGGGCTTTCTAACGACGTTGCTCAGGAGTGTGGAAAATCTTGAGTGATGTAGTTATACTGACATACGTCGGTAGCATAGACCAAGCTTAAGACAAAGGACCAGAGTCAGTGGAAGGAAGCAGAGATGGTTCCTACAGCAGCATGCCTCAAGGGAGCCCTGGCTTTATCCAGAATAGACAATCTCTTAATCATTGCTTCTCTATGATAACCTAACAGCTTTCCAGTGCTGTATTCCTGGCGATGAATAAACTGTTACCTTTTTTAAAAGGCTGCCTCCTATCACTGCAGATTCTTTCTCAGAACATCGTGCCCTGAAGCCTCCCACAGGAGTCTGGCTTGGATGGACTTGGTGCAGGGAGCCAGCACAGTTGCCACCAGTCCAGGTGTTCCCAGGATTGTCCCTTTTTTGAGGTAGCTGTCCTGGGAAATCTATAAGAGTGCTCGGTACACACTGCCAGTCGTCCAGTTTTGTGGATTCAGGATCATCCCAGATATCCTGTTTTTTGTACCTAAGAGGTGGAAACCCTAGTAGCCACAGAGAGACTGTTGGCACTCGAAAACCCAGTTTTGGAGTCATGAAGACCACAGCCCTGGCCCTGTGGAACTGTGTGGATCCTTAGAGTCTGACACACTAAAGTGTTCCTCCCAAGGGACTGGTTACAGGCTGGGGCATAGACCAGACCCTGAGAATCCATGACAGCATGGACCTCAGATCCCTATTAATACTTCTTATCTAAACAATAACGTTGTCTCTCCCTCCCAACAGAGCCACTGGAAGTATAAAATCACTGCAGAAAGTAAGTGATAATTATCTACCAGTTTAGTTATATTTTTTATGGTGACTCAAAATCTACTCCCCAAACACCCCTCTCCCACCTGCCACACATACGTTTCTGCTATAACATCAGACAATTGTAATGTCCCTTGGAGATCCTGCAAAAGTTGCAAGCAATGGGAGAGAGTTTGCAAACTTTATAGGTACAATGAGAATAAACCCTGGTCTACACTACACGGTTAGGTCGAATTTAGCCGCGTTAGATCGATTTTATAATGAATGCGTCTACACAACTAACCCAGTTCTGTCGACCTAAAGGGCTCTTAAAATCGACTTCTGCACTCGCCCCAGCGAGAGGAGTAGTGCTAAAATCAACCTTGCTGGGTTGAATTTGGGGTAGTGCAGATGCAATTCGACGTTATTGGCCTCCGGGAACTTTCCCAGAGTGCTCCAATGTGACCGCTCTGGACGGCACTTTCAACTCCGATGCACTAGCCAGGTACACAGGAAAAGCCCTGGGAAATTTTGAATTTAATTTCCTGTTTGGTCAGTGTGGCGAGCTCAACAGCACAGGTGACTATGCAGTCCCCCCAGAATTGCAAACAAGCTCCAGCATGGACTGAATGGGAGACACTGGATCTGATTGCTGTATGGGGAGAAGAATCTGTGCAGGCAGAACTCTGATCAAAAAGAAGAAATGCTAATAAATATGCCAAAATTGCACAGGGCATGATGGACAGAGGCTACAACAGGGACACACAGCAGTGCCGCATGAAAGTTAAGGAGCTCAGGCAAGCTTACCAAAAGACAAAGGAGGCAAACGGTCGTTCTGGGTCAGAGCCTCATACATGCCGCTTCTATGATCAGCTGCATGGCATTCTAGGGGGGAACCCTACCACTACCCCACCACTGTCTGTGGACACCTGCAAAGGGAGAGTCTCACGCAACAGGGAGGAGGATTTTGTGGATGAGGAAGAGGAGGAGGAGGAGAATGTGCAGCAGGCAAGCAGTGAATCCATTCTCCCCGGCAGCCAGGACCTTTTCATCACCCTGGAGCCAATACCATCCCACGGTGGCCAGTACAGCTACTGGAAAAGTCTGTTAATGTGTCTGGGGATGGAGCAGGAATCCTCAAGGGACATCTTCATGAAGCTCTCCTGGAGGTACTCTGAAAGCTTTTGCAGAAGGTTTCTGGGGAGGGCTGCCTTATTTCATCCTCCACGGTAGGACACTTTACCACGCCACACCAGTAGCAAGTAGTCTGGAATCATTGCAGAACAAACCATGGCAGCGAATGGTCCTGGATTTTGGTCGCATTCAAGTAACATTCGGTCTATATCTTTCTGTGTTAGCCTCAGGGGAGTGATATTCATGGTCACCTGGTTGAAATAGGGGAATTTTTGTAAGGGAACAGTAAAAGGACCCCAGTCATGCTGGGATGTTTGTGCTTGGCTGAGAATAGCCATACGGTGGGGGGAGGAGTGAAGGGATCATCCCAGAGAATAGCCACATGGTGGGGTAGGGGGAGGTGTGTGCTGCTCATCCATCCGAAAACCGCAGCCCCTATTTTTAAATGGCAAATCCAACCGGCATTGCTTGCTATGGGAAAGGAGGCCGCTGCAGTTTGAAACTATTCCCACATGTTATGAAGGTGTTACAAGCCAACCCCGCGTACCCTTTGGCTTACCATGGCTGCCTGGAAACTGAATTCTGTTGCCCAGCTGTGTGTGATGTGTCACCATACCGGCAGGCACTCAATATAAAAGGCAAAATGTGACCTTGTACCTAAAGCACATGTGTTGTCTGCTGTGAATTGCTTCATTCACTGTGAAAGAGTCTCCCTTTTGTTCTCAGAAATATATTATCTTAAATTTTACTCTTCCTTTTTATCCCCCTGCAGGTGCAAATGTTTCTATGCTCCCCCTATCATCTCGTCCCTGAGGTTATCGCAGATTAGAAGGCAAAAAAAACGCACTTGCGATGACATGTTTTCCGAGCTCATGCAGTCCTCCCGCACTGATAGGGCACAGCTGA